TGCCATTGGATTGCAGAGAGACACAGGATTGGCTGCGGCCAGGTGGTCCAATATGTCTGCGCCCTAATCCGACGCCACACAGACAATGCGTAACTGCCTTGATCATCTCTCCGAAACGTCCTATTTATGCCTTGCTAGAAATTTTATCGGTTGCAATGATTGGAATTTAGTATGTTCTTTCTTAAAACTCAATTTCTTCGTTAAATATATAAAAATACGAATTACTTTGCCGAGGTCCACTTTTATTGTCCACGGTCTTATTACTTTACCAAAATTTTTAAGCCTTTTGGTTTTTTAGATTTTATTTGGTGGTTGAGGTATTTGGTTAATCGTTTTTGTGTTTCATATGTTCTCTTCTTTTAGGTGTCACGCTTGCAAACTTTATGTCTGCCGACAGATGCCAAAGCGGGTTTTACTCTGAATGGGGATAGACAATGTGCTATTGTGAGTTTAGGCATCTACCTCATTGAATCGGACCTTACAGTATGCCAGTTTCTTTTTTTTCACCTTCCATAGTTTGTTGATAAAATTTTACCATTGTTATTGAACGTTCAAAAACAACTTGTCAAATGCTCAATGTCACCTACAGAATTGATGTCAAGGAAGTACAAACGTGCGTTCTTCTTTTTTCCCAAGTTAATTTTCACTATTCAGGTCTGCCGAGCGCAGAGTGCTTTGCGTTTTGTCTCTCGAGTGTTCTCACCCAAGTTGCTATCCTTCATCCGGCCTCCTTCGACAAGGTGTGTCATGATTGCTGTAATCTTCCCCACTTTACCGTTGTTGTTGTTGTTGTTGTTGTGCATCAGTCATTTCAATGCCTAGTTTCTAATTTATTGGCATAGTGGTTTTGGCTGAATCTTGTGCCAATTCTGCTAGATTATACTAATTTCGTCTCTATGGTCCATCGATCCATAAGAGTTGGTATTAAAATTACCCAGATTACAAACATAAACTTTCTCATGATTTGCCGTTAAGAGAAGAGGTAAATTCGTTGGCACCAATTTTTTGCTTTTCATTAGAGATATATATTGTTTGCTACTGCATGTGAGTAATTTAAGCGTCCCGTTTGGCCGTCTGTACTGACAGCACTTCTTGATTTGTTAGCAGAAATTCTTAACTGACTTCTCATTGCACACTTGTTGTTTCTGGAAAGTCATAGGCACATGTAGTCAAAATCACTATCTTGGCTGCAGGCACTGAGAACAATTAAAGAAAATCTAGCCAAAGTTCACTAGAGAAGCCAACTATGTAGTTAAAAATCATTGACAAATAACTAGTATGCTGTTTTTTTTCATTTCAGATAATTACAACAATTTTGGAGTCTATTCAGAGTTTTATATCAGCTCTTGAAGACAGTTACCAACAGCTAATCGAGCCCTTCCAAACATTGACAAACTTGATCCGTCAAAAGATCGGCGGTGTTTCAGCTGTGCCTCCGCCAGAATCATCTTTACTGAGTCCTGCCCAGTGGGTATGCATTGATCGCGTCTGTCTCTTTCTGGCACCTTCCCTGCTAGGGCTTCTCCGTGGCCTCGGTCGTGCTTTCAATCCTGGTAGTCGTCATGCAAGCATCGTTTCGGCCCTTTTCCCCTCTACTTCAATCAACGAGGAAGGATTTTCTTCTTTTGCATCAAATCCGACGGATTTGGATGTCATTAAACGATTCCTTCCATCTTATCGCTCAATCATTCCACAACCTCTCCTGTGCAAGCTTGGTAAAAACAAAGCAGGTAACCAAGAACGTAAGTACAATTAATGCTTTTTGCTACAACGTTACTTAAACTTTACCTTAGTTTTCTTTTCAGAATATACATTTTATTAGTTTTCTCAGGATTGATGTGTCACCTACTTGAGGGCTTCATGTGAACGAGAATTGATGAAATGGTCCTAAATATCATTATAAATTAACCACATAATGATCCCACCTTTAAAATTGCTTTTTGAAGTAGCTAGACGATTGCCCCCAATCACCATATCTTTACTTTAATGGCCGTCGGCAATGATTAATATCAGTTTCAACGAATTGAATATTCTACGAAGTAATTGTGTCTAATCTTCGATTCAACTTATTTTTTGGGTTATGGTCTAATTTGACTTCTGGTATTTACTTTTGGAACTGCGTTTTAAGCTAAAGTTAAAGGTTATTTAACTGGTGCTTATTTATAAATTGTCTAGAAATTTGTTTGTAATATGATTAATCTGATTTAATTTGGACGTGTGAACGTAGAAGCGGAACCTAGCGACATGACTGATTTGATTCGCTTTATTTGTAGACAACCCTTGGCCACCGTGCCAATTTTGTGGTAAGGTTCGACCAACTGAAGACGGAGATGCGTTGCTGGACGAAATCTCGACATCAGAAAGACTTCAATCGACAGACAAGCAATCCTCCTTTATTTATGGACCACGGTTAAAAGACGCTGGACGGAATGTTGTAGTTGGTCAGTGTTGGTTACACCGTCAGGGCAGTGAGTATCTTTTGGGGACGGTTGCATCTGTCTACGGGAGTCGATTACCACACCGAGCGGTTCTAACTCCCGATGAGGATGATGGTTGCGGAGATCTCTGCATGGCCACCTTCTCAACAAATCACATGAAGGTTATCCTTAAGATGGTATGTTTCGGCTTGGGTGTTTCTATCATGTGCAAGTTTTTAATCTGTGCAATTTAATGGGACTTAGCTATTGGCACCATAGCCTGCTAGGTACTTAAATTTTACTTACAATTTGCCCAGCTTAAAATGTTCTTGATTGTTAGGTGAAGTTTTGCGTTTTTGCAACAGTTTATCCAAAAGTGTTTCTGTGACTGTGGTTACACTGCAACTACTGGTGTTTTGGCCAAGTTTGGCTGAAACGGTGAAAGAATAATCTAAGGTTCTTGTGTAAGGTCAAGACTCTTCAGTAGCTTCTGAAACTATGAATGCAGCACTCATGTGGGGGATCCACTGGAAGAAGGCGTGGCCTGCACTTCATGGTACCTCCCCGAAAAACCAATCAGACGCATCCTCGCAATTTGTTGTGAACTGGAATTTTAGAACCAAAAATAATGACAGAATTGGTTTTAAATGCGGTAATCGTTGCTCCCGGAAATCCTTGTCGTGACACCGTCGCAATTTAAACGCCCCATTTGTTCGCCTATTTTTGTCACACCTAGGCAACTGGATTTCTTCAAGAGCGGCTTATTAAGTGGCTGGACGCTCTGGCCGCGCTCTACTGGCGTGTAAGTTCAACTTTGCCTAAATAAGAAGTGTTGTCAGTGCCAACCTTTGTTGTGCGAGTTACGTTGGCGAAGCGGAGTTGCGTTGTTTGGGGAAATATTGATAAATTACCTTTTGCATGAATATACATGACGTTCATAACAATGTCAACTCAGTGTTTCATTTGTGTAAGGATTAAATTATCCACCCAATTTAGTCCCTCTGAAAGTCCTTTCAGAATCCTGATAGTTTTAAAACAACCTAGAAAATTATAAACAAATCCAAAGTAAAATTTTGCCTTTATAAATTTTTGCGTGCTCAGAGGCACAAAATTAGAACTTAGTGAATTATTCGAGGTCTGTGAAGTCAATTTGCCTGTTTCAATAAATGGTGCGTTTTCAATGTTCTGTTTGTCATTAATTTCTTTACATGGCGTTTGATATTAGACAGTGGACGTTCATAATCGACATTTTTAAATGCGTGCTCGTTAAATTTGTCAACCCACAATATTGCTTCTTTATCTCCATGATGGCATCTAGCATGCCCGTCCTCGAATCCGCGTAGCTTGTCCGTATTTGGTGTGGTGTACATTAAAGGGTGAAGGTTGACCCGCAAATTAATGATAATAGCAGTTTATCCCACCAATACACACGACTTTCATTTTTGTTGCTTTTTTGTTCCATAGCGTCGCCAGAGAGGAGCCGGTTATCCCTATCGATCTTTCAGCAGTTGTTTTCGTTTGTGCTATCTTCTCCTTTTCCGTGACATTCTTCGTAACCGGAAACAAAGTAAAGTGTCATGTTTGATGTGGCCTAGTTTTTATATGACACGGAACAAATTTAAACGAATCTACCACTTATTCATTTCCATTATTTACCTTTAATAGAATTCAATGAAAAGTTGATATCAACTGTTCAGTCAATAATTGAGGATATCTACTCCACTTACTACGTCGAACAGATAAATCTAGCGGCTGATTTGGCTTCTCAGGTTGCCCGACGATCGGCGGCACTTACTCAGAGTCGGGAGATATATGGGGGGAAAGGTAATTAGAAGTTAATCAAACTTTCTTCAGAAACTCGGAATATGTCTACTTCCTCCGGTCTAGAAGATGGTCAGGATGAAAGTACCTTGGCAATGCTTGATTCTGCCTCTATTCATCACGACCAAACGCAAGTCATCGATTTCGGTGGGCATTACCAGCCGTTGTCGAATGAGGTTTGTGGCTTAATTCTAGTCATCCTTCCTTCATACACGTTGAAGTCTGCTTGTGTACTGATGGCACTTCTCGATTTATTAACCACCATTTTTACAGGGCCTAGTCATTCATTAAGTAAACCATAAGTAACAGTAATCATCATAATCCTGAAGAGTTCGTGGTTTACCAACCCATGATCGAACTAGTGCATCGCCCTCGAGTACTTTGTGTGCACATAATTGTGCTGCATTTCAATGCACCGTCAGGAAATGGCAAATAATCTGACCTCAAAAAGTTGTCATTTCTACAAGCGTTTTCTATTACACTGAGGTCCAAACTGTTGGGTAGTAATTTCACTACTTTGGCTCTTGATATGTACAGTTCATCGGTAACTTGCGTATTTCTTTGATGACTTTCCTATTGAATTGGTTCAAATCATTACTTTGGAAAGTTCTACTCCTTTCCCAATGCAAATTCCTTAAATTAATTGAAACACAACGGACTTCACGATGACTTTTTCCTATCTTTTTCGTTGCTTCCTCCAATAATCGTATAAATCTCAGACCTCTAACCTCATATCAGTATGCAATCAATTGTCCTATCGGCTTCCATGCACCTGAGAGAGCTAATTTTTGTTCAATTCCACGCACTATGCATATTTCAAAAATCCAAGCGTAAGCTCCTGTTATTTCTGTAAATCCACTGAAGCCCATCGCCTTATCAGTGGACGTTAGTCATGAAACCGCAGTGAATCTTATGGATTTATTGCAGATACGTCGAACAGTAGGCACATTTGGTTAAGGAGCTACTTTGTTCAGTAAATTTCTATTTCTCTACTCTACCCATAGACTGCCGAAGCCGGCACCCCCCGTGGAGGTGTAAGCAGGAACTTTTTCCTGCCTGAACAGAATTCACCTGAAGTAGCCAGGGAGACGATACCGTCAGTACGTCGGTCGCAGCCCCAGCTCGCAGCCCCGCGGCTTGACGAGGATATTGTGGCGGCGAAGCTGTTCGATTTTGAGCTCGTCACTGCTTCTCTGGCCACTTGTCTCCAAATTCTCACTCTGACAACAACAGAGAATAATGGTACCTAGCCTTCACCAAAGATTGCACATTACGTATTTGCAGGGCCTAGTCATTCGTTCATTAAACCATAAGTAACGGTAATCATCATAGTTCTAAAGAGTTCGTGATTTACCACCCCATGATCGAACTAGTGCATCGCCCTCGAGTACTTTGTGTGCTTGAACTATCATCCCCCTACTTTTCACATAAACTGAACTTCTTCGCATGCTGCAGTCAGGACTAATTAGGATGCTTCTTTACTTCATGATTTTTTCAACCAAGTGATATTGAAACTCGCTTGACACATCAGTTATTTCACGTATTTGTTAGCCTATGCATGACTGCTTATAGGTTTGAAATAAATCAACTTTTTCGGTAAAATTTGTTTGACAAAGGGTTCTATGAGCGAGTTATTAGTGTTTCTTACGCATTTTGATTTATTTTAATCGACGATCATCGCAATTATTTGGGCTTTTCAATCATCCCCACAACTTGATCCTCTTTTTATCACCGTAGACGCTGAGGGTTTGCTAAACCGTCTTACGGAGCGAATAAAATCTGGGATCGATCCACCAGCCCCAGCAGTGCCTCCACCAATTGGAAGCCCAAGAGAGTTGACGCCGTCGCCATATTTCGACCCTACCCTAAACGGGGGTGTAGGTATCATGCGTGGCGAATTTAGCGCCATCCACCGCGCCTCTCGGCAGCAGCAGTCGAACGCCCACGCTGGATTGCTTGTTGTCGTCCTTGACTGCGTGGGTCAGCTCACCCAGCAGATCCCTTATCTGTCCAAGGCCACTTTGGATTGCCTTAGTGAATTTCTGCTCTACCCGAGTCCGACGTTGAGCAAACTCAACCGAACCATCTACCGTCATACGAGCAGTCGGAAGTCAACCGCATCGGTCAGTACTAAGGTACTCTTTTGCCACTTTTGTGTTAGTTAATTGCACTTTGAACACTTGGCAGAAACCAATTAATTTTATGCTAAACCAATACTTGCGCTAAATTTGCCTCGTTTAAGGTGGATCAAGCTAGGTAAACACTGTGAGGGCTGTCATTGGGTGACCTTAGCGATGCTACGACCAAATGAGTGGCAAAGTCTCAAATATGCGGAAAACAGTTATGGGTAATGCTGACTTCCCCTTCTGCGTTCTTTTAGTTCTGGTTTGAATGGGTACTGAAATGTGCATGCATTGCCGGAAGCGTTTCAAGTTAAGTCAATCTTCGAGGTAAAGTAAATCCTAACTCGTATTTCTGTGCACATGGAACTCTTTTGCGATAGATTCCCAGCCCCTTTAACTGTTTCCATGTCGTTAGACATTTTGCTGTCATTTTGTCCAATTTTCACCCATGTTTAATTTTGGGTCTTATGTGTTTGTTTACCTTTCGCCCTCGCAGGCCCGAACCGCGACCTTGGACCAGGGCACACATTCTAATCGCATCCAGCGCGCTCAAAAGCTCTTAGAGAGAATTCGTGGTGCCGCTATACAGAGTCTCTGCCGGTAATCATGCTCTTATTGCAACAACTGTCTAAATTCACCACCATAAACAAGCGTTGTGCGTACCAAGTTTTTATAAACCTATGGGTGCGTTACCCACACCACACCATACGAGCCGTACCAATATTCATACAGTGCAGATATTTGGTAAATTAGCCAAAGACTACGTTTAATTAAGCGCCTAAAGTTCTTTTCTAGTGTGCAGCATAAGCGTTTGTGGCCTTAACGAAAGTTGTCATCTCCAAATGTTCACGATTGCAGTAATGCTGTTACCGAACATCCGACATGCCCGGTCTGTTGTGGACAGCAACCAAAGATGTCCGTTTTGTGACATAAAAGCCTATGCGATGCATTCATCTCACTATGGCTTTAATGGTTTCGTGGAAGTACACCAATCGATGACTGAGGTCTTTTGCATAGATTTTTATGTTTGTAATATTCATTATGTGCATGACTCATGCAACCTCTGTTCACAAAAGAAACAGCGCCATAATTTCAGCCTGCGATTAAACTGGTAAAGATAGTTTTGCCTCTTTTTATCCCTGAGTTTTTCATTACTTTCTTTTTGTTTTGATTTGGTATATAATACAGAAGGTTCTGCTCCTACTTTGTCCGTTGATTTTGATTTTTACTTTTTTTTTCACTTTAGGGTTCTTCTTACAAACAGAAGCTTTGTGGAGAGTTTCCTTGCAGAGCTTTCGCGAAAGTTTTACAACGCTACAACAGAAAACGACAGGTAGAGTTTACTTAAACCCGAAACGGTTTGTTACAAAACCCTTCCTCGCCACAAACTCCCTAAAGGCTCTAACTAGAACTGTTGGTGCTGTGATTCATGGCACTTTTGTAGCGGTCTGCGCTGACCTCCCTGTGATTCTGTTTCTCGTTTTACTCAGTTACATCTCTTTCATTTTCTAGAAAAAAAGTTATAATCATTTGTGCTTCTGATAGTTCAAATGAACTGCCGAAAGGGAACTTTATGTGGTTGTTATCTAGCTGACTGTTTGCATATTTGGGAAGCTATGAAGCTCGTCATTTCACTCACATTCGACCTCACCTGTTGGTCTAAAATAAGGAAAATATGTAAGAGCTAAAAATTATAATTTCTCGTGTGAATTAATGTGCGAATATTTACAGGCTGATTTTTAACAAAACCTATTTTTCATCACCTACTTAATGACACATACTTTTGCATATTAATAAGTGCTTTTTCCATTGATAAGGTAAGCACAGGCTACGATGGCATTGTGCAGGTGGCCTTGAACGTATAAGCAGATATTGGTGCTATTCTCAAGCGTCTCTCCCAACTGTGTAATTGATGTTTCTTTGTAATAAAATACCGACCTAGTTGTGCACTTGTTGTTCTGCGATATTTGAATGCCTAACCAGAAGCAGTCTAAGTAATTTGACCTGACATCGAGGGAATTGTTTGAGATACCCGAAGTACAAATAAACTAGCACTTGGCAAGTTTGTTGAGCTTATGTGCCATATCTGAGGTGCATGTATTTGTTTTGCGTGGATAATAGTAAAATCGAGCATGAATCATCTGGGTTTGAAAGTTGTACAAATTCAACCGTTAAATGCTATGACGAGTTCTGTGTATGGATATTTTTTTCTTTATTTTAATAGATGCATATAACCACATCCTTTTGCTACATTCACGCATTCGTTAAAAAGTTGTCTTCGAGGCTATTTTCTGTGATTGTGCTTAAGTGATCCGTTTTTTCAAATGTTGTGGATGTGAAGAGACGAGATCACGACAGGTTAATCAAACTTTTGAGAAACAAAATTTGCATAGTTTCTTGAACCTTCTTGTTATTCCGCTTGATGAGTGAATTTACCCGCCACCACCGGCATTTCGCCTACCATCGCAATTGGTAACTGCTTGGACTCGCTTTAGAGGCTTTTTCATGTCATTGTAATCGTATTCAGCAGAGGCCTTCACGTGACCCCTGACTCGGGAATAGTAGCGATCTTTTGATTCTTTTCTTTCGGTAGTGAAAAGTGCGAATAATGCGTTCTGGGCAGTGTTGGTATCGTGCGTTGTTTGTGCATGCAGCAAAGATGTGATTCCTCCTTGTTTTTGTGTTAGCAGTTCTAATCTATAGACCAAAGTATCCTTAATTGATGTGATGTCAGTGTCAGCCTCTGGAAATGTCCTTAAATTTTTGAAGGTACTGATTCTGCCATCTAGTGCATTATCATGTTTTATGATTCTCGGTCTTACTCATGACGCCGTTCGATCTGCGGGTTCTAGAAGAGCAAATCGAACTTACAATGTTCTTATTCTGTTAACTTTTATCTTTGAATTTCCGACTAGCTCTCTGAATCAGAAATCCGCACTATGATAGGCCTCGAAGCCTCAACTTTTTTGCGAACGCCTACTTAATTGAACATTATTTGTGTTATGGTTGTAGGATATAAACTGCTTTACCTTTGCAGATGCCTGTCATTTGTAATGCTTCTTTGTTTGACCTTGACAGAGATACAGATCTGATCTACCAAAATGTGATTCTCACACTCGGCCAAATGGGGGTCGAGTTGGCCAGTATTCCCAACACACAAGAACTCATCCTCCAGGTCTTTCAACAGAGTCTTAATGCTTCAAGAGTTCCTTTGGAGCTTACGGAAAAAATTATCGACCAATGCGGGTGTATGGTGATATCGGGCTGCGTAAGTCACCGGCTAATATATGTCATTGCTTTTATCAAAAACGTTGCCTCTCGCCACAAAGTTGTTATTTACGCATTTAGGTATTATAAAATTCCCCAAAATTTCCGTTCAACCCTGCAAACCCCTGTGGATAAATTGTTATCTATTATCATAATCTGTACTTCAAAAAGTTAGTTGTTGTTCCATTGAATTGACGTTAACCAACTTTAGTCTAATTTTGTTCCATTACTCATTTTATCGATGTCGGCACTTTCTACATTGTGTAAATTATTTTACTCTGTCGTACCACCTTTTTTGCGGACTGAATATTTGGCGCTTTGAGGGTCGCTTGGTGCCTTCGCACTGTGGGACCGTCATTCTGAGGTAAACAGATCGTTGAACGCCGTCGTCTGCCAGTCGTGATGTGAAAGACTGATGTTACAATCCAGGCACAAGCAGCACTATGTATTCATCATATCTAGGAGTTGACAAACCCTGTTCACCATTTTACGCACCTCCTTGAATGGTATCGTCATCATCGTGAATAGGCGATTTCAAGCGCGTGTGCATCACTTGGTCACAGTCACTTGGTTAATTTTCTCGTTCTTCCCACATTTGTAATCGCCATATTGCTTGGATTTATACACATGCTGTAGCTTAGAATGAGGTATAAAGGGCTGCCGAGACATAAGGTTACGCACCAGTCAGTGAATCGTGTTTAACGTGGCCAAAGAATGCATAACGGTTTATGATCTCCCTTAAACTTGTTGGTTCATTTGCAAATCACTATTGGCTTGTACTACCTTATTTGCTTGTCTAGCCAACCGTCTACAATCAGATCATGGCCGTCTTCACGGATTGTAGCGTTAAATCCGCCAAACTCTGCCTCTCATCCGGTCCCATCCCTGATGCCTCCGATGAGTAAGTCAATGCAAACTCATAAGAACCAAGTTTTTACGTCGCACCCTTCAGAGGATGCTGAAATTTCACGAACTGAGTAACGGTGCTAGGAGCTTGCACATTTCTTCACCTGCACTACACCGCAGCGGTAACTATTTCTGGGCCTTATGCATATACTAAAACCCGTCAACGACGAGATACATCACTCACCCTTTGAAATTCTGATTTCATACTGTCAATATGTGTCGCACTGTTAATGAAAGTGACTTTTCATACGGGATCGATTCCTCTTACTGTGCTCTAAACTATTTCTGTTTCTCCGTTTTTTCATGACTACTACTGTGTTTTGGTGCAAAATATGTTAAATTGACCCAATCCCTTCAAGTGATTTGTGATCTTTTAACAGATGGCACGGTTCCGCCAATTATTCATTTTTATGCGGTTCTGTAGTTGCTAGCCCGTCTTAACAATGTCCTTGTTTGAGCTGCGCTTTATTCCCTACCATTCTGACCTGCCAAGCAGCAAATGGGCCCGAAACCAATGGCTCTCTTTAAAGTTGCATATTTGCCTTTTATGAGTAGATACACTTGAACGTCTACTTAGTTATTCATGCGTTTTTGTCGCGCATTAGCCGATGCTCGTGTTTCGATGTTTCCTGCTCATAAGGTTACCAGGTTACGGTGTTTACGTGGCTTTCATCTTTGAAGCTTAAACAAATAGGACGTATGCGTTATTTTTTTATTATTGCCATGTTAATTTCCGCTCTGCATAACGACCAAACACTAAGCCAGCGGTAGCTCATTTCCTTTCCCTGGAGGATTAACTTAGAACCCAATCGCTTTTATTGCCCAACATAGTTTTATCCTAAGAACAAAAGTGATACATCTGGTGCTAAATAATTCGTAATGTCGGTCCAAAACGTAATTTCTAGCATAGTTTTCATTCAGCAGCGCCACCAATCCCACAGTGGAAGTTGATGATAATGGTGTTTTACAGCTAGTTGCGGTTATCTGTAGGTAATAGGTGAATGCTGTCGTTTGTTCGCTTTACTTTTTAGGCGACTGTTTCTTTGTGTTGTGAATGGACTGGCCAGCATGGCCGCTTGGATGAAGGGAGAGGCAGAATTGTTGGATTTACTTAATCGTCTCTTAGAGCACTTTATTCAGCTCGATGTGGAGTTGAGATTGGATCTAAAGAGTAGCGAAACGGTGGGTTTGTTTTCAATCGCCTTTTTAATTTTCCTATTAACCCATAAATTGCCACTTATCCTTTTATTGTACTTCATACTCTCGATGTAGTTACTGAGTTCTTAGCATTTATGTGGACTTTAAGATATTCTTCAGTAACCGTCGGACACTTCCAGACACTACAATCCTGCTTAACTCGGAATTTCCTTGTTAATTGAGGTTCTCAAGTCTACTTAAATCATGGTAATTCTATAACCGACAAGTCCGTGCCTTGAAATTACCAGTGTTGACGGTTTTCCAGTTCCACCCGTGCATTCAATTGTCATTTTTTCGCACAACGATCCGTCTGACCTGGGTGGAATTCTCCAAGTGTTTTGAGTCGCTTTGATTTGCTTTTTCTGTCCTCCTAGGTTTCAACGTCTTATTATGTTGGAAGCCTTATTCCAGTTATAGCGGTGGTGAGTCTAACCAAAGCTCGTTTGATTCTCCCCACGTCATTCATTTCCCCCCCCCCCTTAAGCCAAACACATGTAAATTTCTCCAACATCACTCCCTTAAACATGCAAGTAGAAATATGCTATTTAGTTCCCCACTTCGTAGGTGTGGTGAATCAGGTGTTATGAGTTGTGTGTGCGGTGTTTTCAAACTTATTTCGGCAAAACCAGTCTTGTTTCGAATCTGAGCTAATCCCACTGATAATTCTATACAAGCTTTTAACATGAATCTTAGATGGCTTGCCAAATTTCGGTAGGCAGTGATTTGATGACCCTGCTTTTATTACCAGATCCTCCATCGTTTACCTCCAATAACGAACCCTAGTGTGCGCCTACAGAAACTTTTCCGGGACTTTTGGTTCTTCTGTGTCGTTCGAGATTTTCTACAATCCGATACTAGTGAGTAGTATTCTTTTGCATGATTTATTCCACTGTGCTCCAACCCAGGTAGCATTCGTCATTTTTCTCAAAACCTAAATACTATTCCTTCAACCATAGCATTATATGCTGAATCTTCTCATATGTGAAATATTTCTCGTAGTGACGTTGCGCTTATTAAAAAACCCAAATCCTTGAGATCAAGTTTGTTGATGAACCATCTTGTTATTGGTAAATCGAGGGGTATGTGGTGGCCACGTTATTCATCACCTTGCCTCAATCTTTATTGTGTTGTCCTATTGTCGAACGGCGTCATATAATGGGGAAATTTTGGTATGACCGCACAGTAGGAAAGTTTCCGATTGATTTATAGTTAAATGTGTGGGAACAATCGTTCTATTTACGTATGACTGACAACTTTTAGTACTAGTTCTACGGGATTCACACCGATCGACACTTGTGACTACACCTTAGACATGTTGGGTCTACTGGTTTAAAGAATTACATGTCAACTTATTTACCAGTAATTTTTCGGCTCATTGGACAAATTTTCTTCACATCGAAAATTATTGAAGTTTGTGAAAATTGCGTCGAAAAGGTTTTTTCCAGATTGTCAGATGAGACAATTTTTGAGATGTTAACTCATTTAATTGGCGAAATTGCCTGTTTTTTTTGCGTAACAAGATCGAAAGGAAAAATGCGTCATTTAAATATTTAAGTTGACATGTTTGCTGTTCCCGCCTCCACATTCGTATTTATTCAAGTGCCTATGTAAAGCGGATCTTTATCCCGACTCTAGATGATAGCATCTCACGTAGACTTTAGCCCTGACCGCGACGGTTGTCTTATTTTACACAATCAGCACAATAAAGATCCATCAAAAACACTCGTATTCCTTTTTGGGTGACGTAGGCCAGATGCCCACATGCCAAATAAAATTCCTTCATTTCTTGGAGTGGCTTTACAAAAGGTGCCATTGATCTAGTCGCGCTGTTGCTCCTGGGCTTTGTGCACTTTGTACTTGTGTAGCACTAGTTGTCTCCAGTGCTATGTATGTAAACTTGTTCATTTCTTTGACTCACGTTTCCATCCGATGTATTGCGTTTTTTGCCAGACCCCGCTAACTGGCTTTTGAGTTTGCGGGAGATCGCGGCCAAATCTCCGACTCTCCTCAGTAGTGAACCTTTTCGTTCCGATTTGCAGTACATGGAATCCAAAAATATGACCCAAGCAAGTTCAACTGGTGGTGTTAATTTTCATACTATACTTGCACGCCGATTTTGTCCGGTGTTTCTTCCTGTCAAATTTTGCCTTTTTTTAATTGGCCTCAAAGGCTTTACGTCACACTTTTCTGTCTTCTTTCATTGCCACGCATCTTTTCTGCTCATCCATTTTCAGCATTCGATGTCACACAACACATTCATGTGCTGCTACCGAATCATATTTTTTTTAAATTGAATTTGATTGCCGAAAACAAAGTGTAATACACTCCTTGTGTTGGCAGCCTGTCATCACAGCCTTCAAGGATATCGAGAGAAATGAAAAACAGATTCCATTTTGTAAATAATGTGTACAACTGTGGTTGTTAGATGTAGGAAAAATGCAAACCAGACCACAAATGCGATTGAATAAAGTAGACGGACTTTGCGGTCCGCTGGTTCGCAGCAGTCTATTTAAAGGCATAAGAGTGTACGGTGTTATTCGAAAAGAAAGTGGTGGATCATATGTTTTTATACGGATCTGTAACAAAAAAAAACTGGAAAAACGTAACTACCAAAGATGAGCAGAACAGAGAAATATCATTATCTCGGCAAAAATAACATCCAGTTGTCTCATAGGTTGCTCAGCAAAATCTGAAGGACCAGCTGTGCACCTTTTTGGCACCAATTACCAAATCGGGTGGCCTAGACAGACCCACCGCTGCGAGCATCAAGCTGATGAGTGCCACTCAGTCCGCCTATCTCATGTCGGTCTACCAATTGGAGTCCCTTCGGTTAGTCTCTCACTCTCTCAGCTGTCAATACGACTTATGCTTTTTTAACGGAGGCAAGCTGTGTGTCGTGCATTGCAATAATCTAGAAGGAATTGTTGTCAGATACTTCACAAGACATTCCCTTAATTGCTTAAGTGCATAATTTTCCTGACCTCGTTCTACTCGAAGGGTAACTGTAAATTATCTCTTCTAGTTGTTCGGACCACATGGTTTCCATCTCCCATGGTAATTCCATAGAAGAGCATGGTGTAGCATAGTTTCTCCTCCAAAATTGGAAGTAATTATTCGTAATTCTCCTCTTGCTTTTTTAGTATCGACTACTCCGACGACCCAGAGGCTTTTCACAAAACTTTCCAGTACCTTGAAGATAACACAATCCGTACTGATAAATCAGGTAAGTGCATTTGACGCATTTGTATTGCGTCTACGGCGTTATCCGTTTGCGAATCGCGACAGCCAGATACTCCGAATTTCCCTACCACAATGAGAATCATTTGGAGGCATTACTCGCCTATACCTTGACTGATGTAACGTTTTTTCTCTCTATTAAGGCCGCATATACTGTCGTCAGATCATACCTTCATGACTCACCAGTGCCATCATCTTTGTCTTCCTGTTGAATCGACTCTCTTTAAATAATTTTGAAATAGAGCAAAAAGCGGCGTAAATTATAACGGATGAATCATGTTCACAATGTTTTTCAAGGTTTTTTGAGGCCCTGAATTGGGACTCAAAACCAATTTAGAACAACGGGCTTATTTGGGCCCAGCGACGACTCGCTGAAGATCAGAGAACCGGCCCAGTTAAATAATGTGTGCACACTTGTAAAACAAGAATTCGTGCAGGGTGACAATGTCTGTTAGTGGTCTTAATCAGTTGAAGTTAGGTGTCATGAAATAGGACGTTTACGATCGACTACTTACGCGGTTGTAAGTCGACAGGTCAAGTGCACGGGGTGACCGGTTAGTTAAGAAAGGTACAAGCGGTGGTGGAAGTATCATTTATGCTGAATAGAGTGATCGCGTGTAATCTTATTGCAACACTATGCCGATCGCCTTCAAATTGTCCCACTAGCAGTTGTAAACGCCTCCGTGCCAGTCTTGCAAACAATCGGTATTCGTTTTACCAATAGCACCTCGGGATTGCGTTTCAGTAAACAACCTCGGGCCCAACCATCTCACCGACCCGTGTAACCAACTCTACCCCAAGTTATCGAATGCAGTTCCCGCTATTTATTGTGTCGTGTAGGTAGGTGATAGTCCATGATGCCTCGCTAGCGAAGGCTGGGCGGGTGGCTGCCGAATCCGTGCTGTCGCGAAAAGCTGAAAGTCAGTAAACTGAGTGTAGAATACTGACCGATTTCACTTTCCCAAAGTACAAAGGGAGCAACTTTGCTGGGCGTGCCCCACAATGCGTGGAAGTACTGTTTAATCAAATTTTTTTCAGATATGTGGGCCTGCATTATGCAAGTGGCTGTCCGTGTTTTCCAACGCTTTCTACTCCGAATCAGTAACATGGTGAGTCCTCTTTTTGAGCTCGATTTTTGTATTGCGCGTAAATGCTCACATTCTGTCTTGCAGAAACATTAAATCGTCGCTCTTTATTCGTGTAGCGTCGCTTTTGTGTATGCTCGTGGTTGGAGGTCGCTCTTGGTCTAATTGAAAGTTAGATTTTGTATCGTGGATTGCATTTCAAGGGCCTCCTCAAAAAATACTTGCACTTTTAGTCAGTACTCACACACTCACCACAGGTACTCTAATAGCCTCACCTTTGCCAAATGATTCAAAGTCATTAAAAAACTGCATCTTTTGCATTCAATGAGTCTCGCGCTTATTTGCAGACACTTTATGGCTCATTTGCATACACTGGTGGCGCCGGCTTTCTTTCATAAACAAAAGACTCCAAGCCATGTGTGGCATCGCCTTCTCAGGACACCTGACGTTAAAATTAAAATTGGAACTGGATCTGATAAACGTGAAAAATTTTGCCGAATCAGGTTATGGGCCTTTTGAAGTAGATCTTGGATAATGATACTTTTAATTGATTGCTAACGGTTATTGTGAGTTAGTATGGCTCGTATGTTTCAACAGTCTGTAAATTGTAAAATATCCAGACCATATTTTAGTACGCCTAACCCATGTAATCATGTGTGTATGCTCGAAAAAAAGATCTGTTAGCATTTGAATTCGTGAGAGACTTAAAGGTAATATTCAACTGCTTGTTTAAGATCGACTGTTTTGGTTCGATGTTGATCTGCTGTGATGTTCCTAACCTTAAATGTTAGGATTAAAAAAAACAAACCTCATGCAAAAATTACAACGAAGGTGGTACTGTTTAAAAATTAGTGCTCAAATTATTGACACTACTATACTACCCATAAAAGGTGGGGTTATTTTGTTGAGTAGAAAAGTAAGCAATCTGTGCGTTTTTATTAGCTGCTTGAGAATGTTTTTGTCCGACTTTGGGGTCCGTTGTCCACCTGGGTAGTGAAGACCGTCCGAGTTCGGTTCAAGATGAGCATGGAAGGCAGTTATTCGTGGTCTCTGTCGATTCGATCGTTTTAGCCATCATACTCTGAGTCACATCCACATTTTGTGACCAAAGCAGCTAATCACACAGGTATGCGATGTTCTTGACGGTAACGAAGTCAAATTAGGGGAGATTTATTCGTCTACGATTCGATGCGCAAAATCGCGGTAGGCATTCCTAGTTGCCACGAGTCTTTTGAAAGGAACAACTGAGGCCTCGTTCACTCCTCGGAGCTTAGCTTGCACCCCCTAATCCACTGAGGTCATCACCCTTGTCCGCGGGTCTCAATTTGCAGTAATTTTCTTTGAATCGGAAGCTCAGATTCTACATCCAGCGCTTTTTGTAAGCATGTTTTGCCTAAGCCGTGCCCCACATTTGCAAGCAGCTGATCAATGAGTCAAGGAGAAAGTGCTGGCGTGATTGCCTGGAATACGCTTGCTCCGTAATTTTTTTACTATTCCTTGGCGAAACAACCTTGAAACTGGCAATAAAGCAATAAGAGAGCTTTTGAGGAAGGTCCGTAGTGTGAATCTTTCATTAGTACTATGTTTCGTCATCGGCGTCCATGATAATTGTTGGAATGCCCATGGCCTGATGTTTTCTATTCTCAAGTAGGTCTTTACGACGCATTCCATTGGCGATAAGTGAGTTGCGGCTTCGTTTAGGAACCTTGGCAATCGTATGACAATTGTTACCAGAGATTTTCCGAGTGGGCATCTAAACCTAATGATCGTGTCGATCATTTTCGCATTATTTCCTTGGGTAATTAACTTTGCTGTCAAGTCGTTATTGCATTCAGTCACGGCGCAGGAACTTTTATCAGTGTCGTAATTGATTTTGCTGCTTCCATGGAAGCTTTCGAGTTTCCATCATCATGTATGAATTTTGTCTTCAATATGACCCTTACTGCGCCGAAGATGGTTGTAGGAGTTTGGCTCTAAACAATTCTCCACCTATGTTTTGGTGTCCATTCGATGTGTGCATTACATGCCATTTGTTTAGTTAAGCGCGTCGAGTTCTCTGTTTGTGCATTATTTTGTGTTTGCCGCATCGTAGCAGCCTAATTTACGACATCATTTTGCCTCATGTAGCCAATGGATGCCAAACGAGAAGAGCTCGTGGAAACGCTTGCCCAATTCCTCCTTGTCAAGTTCAATCACATTCAAAAGGGCGTTCGCATCGTCGCTGATCAATTTTTTAGTGACTTGGCAAGAGCGTAAGTTGTGTGCTTCTCAGATTATTTTTTTTTCACTTTGCTTAACGTGATTAAAATGTCATTTGTTTCGTTAATGTGCTTGCACCTACCGATGTTTTAACTTTTCTTCGTACACTTATTCACCTTGCCACATTAGCAGAAATAGAAAAATGGTGATTTGATTATTTTTATCGTGGTAGTTGCAATACAAATTGTACACTTTTCACAATGATTCCTGGTAAATTGCTTTCTCCAAGCGAACCTGACACTTGTGTGTCGCGAGTTGCTTTATGGGTTTTTCAGCGGCATTTATTATTCGAATGCCTTTAAATTTTAGTCGGTTGCTTCTGAATAGTCTATGTTCAGTTTAAAAACAGCGGCTACTGTAAAAGACTTGGAACTCCAGCAATTGGTCTTTCAGTGTAGAGTGCTTAAAGTAATTTCCCTAGAAAGGCTGTCAGTCCAATTTACTTCAGATGTCTGTCTTTTGCTTGTGTGTCATTGCAGCAAACAAAATTGTTATGGAGTCAACAATAACAGCCCAGTCATCTTAACTACTTTTATTGTATATCCAGCACGTTAGTTTAATTCCTTGGTTCGAATTACCTTGTTTGCCAGGCTCGATAAAATGAGGAGTTGATTTGGCTCAAAGATCCTTGTTGCGAAGCCAAACGACCCTATTGAGTTTTACCCATTCGTCTTTCCGACACCCAACGCTTCTGAATGGCCAACTTTGGTGCATTGATTTTTTGCTATCACGCGTTCCAACTTTTCCAAATTATTGAGGGGCTTTGTAGTGATGGCAAATGTCGCGTATAAATTGCTGACACCCAATCACCTCATTTATGTGTAATTAACTTCTCATATAATGCAATATAATCGTATTTATCTAAGGTAACTGTGTCAGCTGCTTCATTAATCACCACTTCACCATGTCAATTATGTTTGGTCTGATCCCGGATCGCCATTTCGGAACTCGTTGACCTGGCCATATTCTAGTAGTTGGTTTTCTTCTCCGAACCAATCACCTTCCTACCTTCATAGATTCTTAACCCGGTGCTTTTCACGGTCACAACTTAGCATCCGGTAAATATATTGCGTAAAAAATTCGGTTCATTCTCAAGCCCATGTCGACTGATCTTTCTCCTTTTTATTGGAACGGCGCCAAGGCCTACACATTGGCGGCAACTTAAGATGCTGTGTCTCACTTTAAATATCTGTCTCTCCAACACACGAGATGTTAACCATCCTGTTCTCTTAACTACATTGAATACAATGGCTTTTACAGCCAACACTTAACCAACAATTGGACAAGGTTAATTTTTTTCCCGTAGCGTAAGTCTCATAGGCGTCTAAATAATGTTAAGTTTGGCAGTTCTATTTTGACTAAAAGGTTCTGCTTTTAGTTGGCTGCTTTTCCCCTCCAATGGCTAAGAATTTGCAAAACATGGAAGTCTGCATCATTGTGGTGATTATCAAGGTTTTTACTCAGTCAGGTGTCATGGCTGATGCCCTTTTCACGTGGTCGTCATGGGCGTAATGTAATGACTTTTGTCACTGCATTTAACCACACGAACTGTATTAATAGCAGTGCTATGTTTATGAAACAGCCTACCAGAACAGCTAGAGCTAATTCAACTGCCACTTGCCCTGGCGATTTGAGTGAGTCAGGTTGTTTTCGAGTCGATCTCATCAGATTCGCAAATCTTGAAAAGCACCCATTAATGACAGCATCGCGCTGATTATTAAACGTTGTATTTTAAAACCTGTTGTAGATTTCCTCATGTGATGTGGAGTGGAAGAGTGCTGTTCACAATGCTCGATATCATCGACATCTTAGCGAAATCTTTGGAAATTGTGAGTATTTTCTTCGTTACTCATTGAGAGTGTTTTTTTAAAACCAACACGATTGCTGATTATACTGAAATTATCCCTTATAATCCGTCATTTTCCCATCCACGTGATTGCCAATTTGGACCTTGTACTGAAAACGACTGAAATAACCCATAGCTTCATACTTTGAAGATAGAATTTCACGTTGCACACAAAATAATTGACAGTTTGCCGACTCTGTGCTGTTTTCCACAGTTCGACTTGATAGCTGTGTATTCGTCCTATATGGCCGATTGCAGATTATCATTCATAGTCCTAGATTTGTGACATACTAAAAGCAAGGAAGTTGAAAGTAGCAGAGTGACTGCATTGGGCAATTTGGCTTAACGTTGGTTTTAGTGGCCGCTGTGATGTTTTCGCACTTCTCCTAACCTGACGCTTAGTGTTACTCTCGGCCGGGTCTCACCCTAAAGTAGTGCAGTGGTTTGACCTACATGTAACTCTCCAGAATCGTGTCGTTAGATAAAGGGATTTGTCTTCAATAACTTTTCTTAAAAACTTGTTGAAGTTAAATATCTAACAACAAAACTCAGTGTGGTTTAAATCCTGCTTTCCTATAGGACCAGAATCAAGTACCACCAGTGTTCGCCGTTCCTGGTACGAACTTTCGCCTTCCCTTTACGGATACGCGCCAGGGCCGCCAGCAAGTCCTCTCCGATTTTGTCAACCGATGCACGTCGGTGATAGAGGAAGGGCTGAAATGGGCGCCCGGCCTGGTGCAATCTCACCTTGAAGAATACGCTTTGCAAACAAAACACTCCTGGGAGGGTCGACGCCATGTGGGTCTTTCGGTGGGCTCAGAAGTCGTCTTTAACTACAACGGACCGCCGAGTCGAGTGATCCACCAAATTATGGTCAGAGTTCAATTCTTGTCTGGGCCTTTAATTGTGTCAGCACATTCTGGCACGATTTGAGAATGCGTAGTTTGCTCACAATGGAAATCTGAAGGCTCGTTTTTTGTTGGAGCCTACCGTAAGCTAGAAACTGCAAATCGCAGCGGGGTTTCCCTTCAGTTGCCGTGAGTTGCACTGCTGCTGTATGCTCATACCACTTGAGATCTTCCCCAAGGCAAACCGAGTGTATTGTCCACTCATCAAATCTTACTTTGTTGTGCAGTCAATTGAATTTCAATTTGCTTGCTCTTGGACTGATTGTGTCATATCTGTGCAGTTAAATGCTTAAGCATTTAACCCAGTTCAAATCCACACAATCCGTGTTCGAATCAACCCTGAATTTGCATGACTTCCGCTTTTTTTAGGTTGGGTCTATTGAAAAACATTCCAATCGTCCAAAATGCAACTACTCCGATTTTATCCGTGACTTGACTTTGCGCAGTAAATTTCTTGGTCATGTGAGTTCTCTCAACGGGATATTTTTACATACGTTTATACATCGAGTCCACGTGAACTCGTATTTTTTCTAGATTACTGGCTTACTGAAAGAAAAGTCAGATCTCAGTCGCATCGTCACAACTGCAATACAGAACCTAGAAAAATCCTGTGCCGAAGGTACGTTCATGCTTTCTTCCACCTACTCATATTTTATGACTGCTTCCTACTCGTCTCTCTCTTGCAGCCGCAGTGCACAGTGACTCCTTAAATCCCAAAAGCACCCTCTTTGAGTCATTGGAAGCAAGTCTTCTCACGATCACAGCTCTCTTGGTTGCCCGCGAAGACCAGCTACAATCGGATGGTGGCTGCCACGATGATGCCACGGAAAATGATGCTGAAGTGTGTTCCTGCAGTACGAGCACTCATGGGATCCACAAAAATCGGCCTTTCATCCTCCAGGGCGTGATGGTTAGGCGACTTCTCCAGCAACTTTGCAGAGCTCCGCTTAAGCTCTTTACCTCAGTCATGGTTGAGCTCGCTATCTCATGCTGGAATTGGCTCCTTGCGGCCCGTTCAAGTCTTAAATTGCAGGTATGGGTTAGCCTTTCCCAATTCTGTTATTTTTTTTTCAAGTCGATTGTGCAGTGTGAGCTGTAGGTGTTACTTAAGTAGTCTAAATCTGATAATGTAGCTTGAAACACAGCTTGTACTTATGTCAGCGGTAGCTAGGCTTCTGTAATTACTGGCTATAATCTGCCAAGAAATGTCAAGTCTGCCTACTTTTTGTTAAAATGTTGCCTTGAATGATGTTATTTCTCTGTTATCGATTTAGTTTACAAGTGAACTCAACGCCGCATGGAAGTACACAGTTGACCAAGGAATGGGTGCCTTCTCGGAAGAGGTAGGTGGTTCGGGAAGTGGAAATCCGCTCATTATGCTTTCTGACCGTGATCAGACCACCTCTACGGAGAATTATGCTCTGCCTCATTGCATTTGGGTTGATGTAAGTTGCCCTCAAGTTGTTTTTATGCGTTTTTGCGGAGCCAATTTTGTAACATTCAGGCATTTTCTTCAGTTTCTTTCGGAACGGTTGTACGTTGCCCAATCATCGAGCCAAGAGGAGGTAAAATTGTTCATCAGCCTCCTTCAACACAGTCTCTCTGGTGAAGTCGACTATTTAACTCGCAGTAGATGTGGCTGGGATGGGGAAAATATCAGTAAACCGATGGTTCCTGTCAGAACACGTCTGTCCTGCTCCATGGCTGCGATGGGTGTTCGTTTTCGCCTAGTAAAAATGGCTTTTGGCCTGTTGCATAGCGCATCGACTGCGTATACTACGCAGTCGGACGTTGCTGACAACTTGTCTACAGGCAGTGGGACTACCGGTGTAGGCGTCGCTTCGGCAAACGCCTCACCAACCGCTGTGGTTGGTTTGGGACAAACGGGGGCAGCTGCCTCCACAACTGGGACGGCTGCGAGTGGAATGGGCGGTGGTGCCTGGAATACTCAAAAATCGGTTCCTGTACACACGGCTCTTTGCTTGCCGCCGATTGTGCGGTTGGCTCTCCGTGAAAAGGTCTACTCGGCCCTAATTAACTACTTCAGGTAAGCGTGATTGGCACGAGCTTCTCTCCCTTTTCACCCTACTGTCAGCTTCTTGTCTACGTTTTAAACAAAGCCCTATGGCTCTTAACATCATCAATCTGGTCTTTGTCATACTTTCTTTAGTACGGAGCCATCGTATCCTGTCCAAATCGGGACCAATCTTCGAGAAGATATCCAAGTATTGATAAGCATTCGTAATGCCGTGAATGCGGAGCGTCGCTACCTTTCGTGTCGTTTACTGATTGGCGAAGAAGCTGATGCACTGACGCAGGTTTCCGGTCATGGCGGAACCGGTGGTGGCTCTGATATCAGTCCCCCAATATCTACTCTCAACCGGAACGACACCAATACCTTGGCTACCTCGAGTACCATACTGCCAGCTGGACACGTGGTCGTAACTAGATGTTCGAGTTTTCACACCAGCCCTCCCTCCACCATTATTGCCCACACCTCCACAAGCCCCATTCCTGCTGGGTTGCCCCGGTCTAACGGAGTTGTTGCCTATCCATCAGCGAATTCCAATAATGACGTCGCAGGAAATATTTATTCATCATGCCCCTCGGGAATGGTCAACGGCCTCGGTCAACTGAAGCCGTATGCAACCTACGCGGGCACTGTTTCTCTCCTGTCCAAACGTTCTTCCGCAATCGGTAAGTGTCAAGAGTACGCTTGTTGATTCACAACGACAACCTGCCATGTCCGTTATTTCATTCTACGAGTCAAACTTTGTAATATTTAATGCACGTTGTTTACAAATTAACTAAAAATAGCACCTTTGAGATGTGTGGGGAAACTCTTACGTTAATTAGTTTGCATGGCAATGAATAACAAGCTGAGTTACGAGCAGCCAAAGGTTAGCTTTTCGATAGCACCATTTAATTGAATGAATGTAAGTTTAACTCGCTATAGTGTTTGCATTTTGCTTAAATTTTCACTTTAGGTAAGCGAGTGCCAGCTTCAGCCGTCAGTGAAGAGGCTATAAAGTCATTCTACATGAGGAAGCGAGAACTTTTGATACTCCTACTGGTAAATATTTACTATTTCTGTTTTGAAGTAAGCATTTTAAATCGCAGCATTATTCTGTAGCTGGTCTACTTCATTTGGATTTAATTGCGCGATAAAAAAGAAATCCCTTAGAGCCGCAGTTGCAGTCGTTGACGTAATTCCGCCTAATTATAATCACGATTTAGGTATAGGCGTGAAGAATTTTGACTCGATAAGATCGGTTAAGAATTCTTAAGCATTAGTTAATCTCAGAAGTAAAAAGTCGGAAAATTGGATTTAACGAAAACCCCAAAGTAGCATTTATGCGGTCTCCGGTATGCCGCTTTGATTCGTATTCCCCCCGTTGTGTCATCTGCCCCTACCGCCCTCTTCCCTGCAGGCCACGGAGATTGAGCGCCTGGTGGTGTGGTACAACCCGCAGTGCAGTGCTGAGCTCACGCTGCCGGGTGAGTCGGATATCGAAGTTTGGCTTCGAAAGGAGCTACTTCGAGAAAAAAATCCCAAAAATTGGGCGCTTCTCGCCTGGGAACTCTGTCCGGCTGCTGCCATCTTCCTTCAACAGCGGTAAGCCCACTGACTACGTCCATGTGGTTCCGCAAATCGCTCTCTTCAGTTCAGGTCGAAGGAAAGCCTTTTCACTGTATGCTTTCATGGTAGTCAGGCCAGTTGTAATGCCTCCTCGATATCGTCTAGTCGGCTTGTTTTTCCAAGGGGAATTTTACTAACAGGTTCTTTGAATGCTAGTGAATAATTCTTCCCTAGGTGCGCCTGCACGCCCAAAATATAGCTCGTGATAGATACTTCATTTGCATTGTAAACGCATATAAAATTAGTTTTTTCTTACTGATTTTAATTCCCAACTGAAATGCAGAGCTTTTCTCCTGAAACGTCACTAATGTCCATTCTTCTAAAACCACTTGTTTGAACGGAATTCCCACTTGCGTACTTTTACACGTCAGTATAACGTGTTCAATTTAGCACGTCAACACTTGTGAATGGTGTACATTGAGTTTGGTTATTTGACACCCGCCACTAATCATTATTTGCTTACATCTGTCCCATATGGGTGTACATAACAAGACACCCAAAATTCAGGCTGTTTCTTTACAGATTAAATGGCTTAATGAGAAAGGTACGGTTGAAAATCTGGCGTATATCACGTCACTTATAAACCTGGAGCATGATGTTGCATTGAGGCTTGCTTACTTTCAGTCCGATTCCGTGTGCTGTGTGTGTTAAATGCCCAGTTTGTTTTTCAATTTCATTAGATTGAAGAGCTCAGACCAGGTGCGCGAAGAGGTGTGTCGTCTAGTGCGTCAGTCGCCATCCCTGGTGTCTCACATCCCGGCGGCCTTGCAGTACCTTGCGAACCCCTCAAACATCGAGGCCGACATTCCTGAAGTGAGTGTGATTCAGTGGCAATTTAGTCACAATGCGCACCGCACTTTCTTAGTCTAGTCTGTCCCCTTTCGTTTGTTTCTGCAGCTTTCATATATCCTCTCGTGGGCACCTGTGCCCCCTGTTACAGCGATTTCCTACTTCTCGCGGATGTATCCTCAGCACCCTTTAACCCACCAGTATGCCGTCAGGGTCCTCACAGCCTACCCACCCGAAACTCTCCTCTTCTATGTACCTCAGTTGGTCCAGGGCACCAGATATGATAAGGTGAGTTGTTATCGGTCTAGGTGTGTCAATAATCCACGCCGATCGATAATGCCTTCATGCAATTTCTCGGATTTGGCCCCGCTTACTACTGCTACTACTACTACTATCGTCGTCATCATCGGCATTATTATTGTTATTGTTATCATTTAAAGTTGTGCCTATGATGTTTGTGAGAATACCGTTTTGTGTTTCACATGCCTTTAGCTGGGGTACATGTCTGAGTTCATATTAAGTTCTTCGCATCGCTCACCGTTATTGGCTCACCAACTACTTTGGAACATGAAAACTAATGCTTATCGGGACGAGGAGGGTCATGAAAAGGATCTTGATATTGGCTCTCAACTGGAGTGGATGTCTGAGGAGATCACTAAGCGATTTTCAGGGCCTGCACTGGAATTCTACAAGCGCGAGTTCGATTTCTTCGACCAGATAACTGGCATCTCTGGTGAGATCAGGTAAGACTAATTATTCTTGTGTGTTTTCTCGCATACGTGGTAGCTAACGGCTTTTTTACATACCAGGCATTATCCAAAAGGACCGGAACGCAAGAAAGCTTGTTTGCAGGCTCTAAAGAGAGTAAAACTTCAGCCTGGCTGCTATCTACCCTCCAATCCAGATTCGATTGTTCTTGAAATCGACTACAATTCGGGTACTCCCATGCAATCAGCTGCGAAGGCACCGTATCTGGCCAGGTTTAAGGTACGACAGACCCAATGAGTTATCCCTTGTCAGGTAGTTTGGCAGAGTGCTGGGTCATTCACTTGAATAAGCTCACACACGCACCCACTCTTTGCTATGCTGTCAGCGTTTAAATGAAAAAAGATGCCAAGGAATCTTGATCTGCGATGCTCTTTGGCCTTGCAGTTTACGAACCCACAGTTACAAGAAGTTTATGCACACAACATGGTAATTGCTTCGGTATGGTGCCTTGCCCGTCTTCGGGAATTCCATGCTAAATTTAATGGTTTCAATGAGAGTCAAATGTTCACACGGATGTTGCTTTAGTTCTATGTCCTTGTTATTAAGCAAATGTGACATTCACATGGGACTGGCCCTGGGGTTAATAATGTGATCGGTTCATTCGCTGGTATACTGAACCGTTTATCTAAGTCAGATTTCTTGATAGCTGGGCCTAACTAGTCGTTAAAAGTGCCACTGGACGTCTTTATCAGGTTTCACGATGCGGTATTGCGCAGTTGGAGAAAACAGCAATTCAGGCAGCATCAGACACAAAGTCTAGTTCAGGCGTGGTGTCGAAGACTTGCCAAAAGACATCAGGTGAACCGTCTGCGCCATCACGAAAGGACTCCTCTCACACGTTCTCTCTCAGGAGTCCATTGTAAGTTTTGCTGCAGTCTTGTTGTCTCCTGTAGTCATTATTCGGGGTCACCTGTTTATGATTTTCACAGCGAACTACCAAACTATACTCCACGTAGCCTACAGTGCACGACTATGTGAAATTTATGCAACTACGAATGCCAACCAAGAGACTAAAACGAGAATGATGTATTAACGATATGTGCACTGTGGTATTCAGTCAAACAATTTAAGAATAGATTATGTGGTGAAACTATATTTTGTGTCGAGTGCATATTGGGTGATATTTAATGCACTAATCGTATGCGGAAAGATCTAAACGCAAGGGATAGCTCAGTCGATCATTCAGCTGGTTATTGTATAGAAGTAGACGGAGTGAACAATACTCCGCATACATAAACTAAAAGAATGTCTAAAATACCGAAGTCATTGTCGTTCCGATTTGATTCGGGACAATTCAGTTGAACGGTACCCCACAACTGGCGCGTTCGTGGCCACTTACTACCTTCGTATTCGAGGACCGTTATGCTAAGGCAAACAGCTAGTCGGTCGCCGTCCTCTGCCAGTCGTGATGTGAAAAACTGATGTTAGAATTCAGGCACAAGCAACACCGTTGATTCTTCATGTGTAGAAGTTAGCGAACCTTACTCGCCTCACCCACTTTGTTAATTTTCTGGTTCTCATTTTCCCACAATTGTAATCGCCATATTTTATTGCACCGATTTACGAGCCCGCTGTGGCTCACGATGAGGTTTGAAGGGGTGTCGGACATAAGGTAGCGCATCAGTCGGCGAATCGGATTTGTGGTTTACCTCCTAAAAGACCTAGCCCAACAGTCTGACTAGACGCTGATCCAATTGGTTAAATGAGGCTATGGACATAATGAAAGTGTATGTCAGTCAACGTGTAGAAACTCATGTGCCTGCCACGAGTGCCTATTAACTGTCACAGGGTGATGTACTAAGAGTCGAGACCCCAGTGACATGTGGTGCTAAATGACGTCGTGGGAAAGACTGGTTGATGTTTGTTCTTGTAGCACACGTAGTCGCCGACAAACAAGCACGTCCAGTCAGACAACCATTGTGCGACCTGGGGAGAAGGCATTGAACAATTTGAGCGGATCGGCGACCCAACACCACCAGCAATCGCCGCCCACATTTTGGCAGGCCTGCATTTTCAAAGTGGGCGATGACGTGCGACAGGTGGGTTTCTTGTTTTATCATCCAACGCAGTATTTTATTAACGCACGACTTTTTTTCAGGATATCTTGGCGTTGCAAGTAATCCAAATATTCCAGAACGTTTTCAATCAATATGGCCTGGAGCTGTACCTGTATCCCTATCGTGTGGTTGCAACCGGTCCAGGGGTATGTAATTGAGTACGATTACTTCCAGTTTAATGCAAATAGGTGCTGAGTGTAATGTTTGGAATTGTAGTCGGGCGTGATTGAATGTGTGCCGGACAGCAAGTCGCGTGACCAAATTGGTCGGCAGACCGACAGCGGCATGTACGACTACTTCCGGAGCATATTCGGCGATGAATCGACGCCTGCGTTCCAACGTGTGCGTTCTCCGATTTGCCATTTCCATGCTGTCATTCTAATTTCAACGCGAGGTCAGCTGTGCATTCAATGATAATGCTTATAGTATCTTAATACATAACGCATGTTTCATAGGCGCTCGTGATATACCCGAAATGATTTTGATTCACGATCACTGTCATTAAGAGGGGCTGCAATTAGAACACACTAATTGGCAGATTTCTAAATGGCATTTTGTGTTTTAGGCACGACGGAACTTCGTTGTTAGCATGGCTGCCTACAGCGTTGTGTGTTACTTGCTGCAAATAAAGGACCGCCACAATGGCAACATCATGCTTGACAAGCAGGGCCATATAATCCACATTGGTAACTTTTCTAACTTGTAACAATGGTGGTTCTATTATCAGACGCATTTACTAAGAAATATCATTGCGTTCACACAGTTTCATCAGCTGCCATAGACAGTCGGCTGCACATGCAACCTCTTACCTGTACTCGTCGTGATTTCAAATGTACCTGATTGTGGGAGGTCACGTCATGGTGGAGTGAGGAGTGACATAATGTGGTTTGAAATCGCATGGCAACTCGATGATTCCT